TATTTTGAATGAAGAACTGCAGAATGAGAATAAAGGCCATGGAGACCTCAGTGGTGGGCTGAGTTCATGGAACAAAGAGATCAGAATTTCCTGGGCCAGACTAGTGCTAGCAGGGTGACAGTGCTGCCCCACCTGGAGATAAAGAAGAATGAGCTTTCCTGACCAGAGGAATTGAAGCACATAGAAATCCTGTCCAAAAAAAAAAAAAAAAAAACAGAAGAAAAAAAAAAAGAAAAGAAAAAAAGAAAAAAAAAGAAAAAAAAGAAAAGAAAAGTAATCTCACCCCTATGGGAGAAGAAGTCAGCTTATTTTGAGGGGCTGGCATTCTTCACTGAATATTCAGTGGTTTTTTTTGGTGAAATTTTTGTCTGTTTTTGAAATTGTTAATGCTGTGTGTGATTTACTGGTATCTGTTAGTGGCTTTAAGGAGTTGCATACTTCTACTAAGATTTATACAATATCTGAGAAAGATAATTTGCCTTCCTTTTATTCACACAATTTACAAGTACATAGTTAAATTCTCCCTCCTCATCTTGATTGTGTGTGCATTGCATGTGGCACTCCCTATTTCCTGTGCCATATCACGGTGACACTGGCTGCTGACACTCCGGTCCCACACCAGGACTGGGCTAACAATTAAACAGTGTCAACAGTGTGTCAGTTCTCTGGCTCAATTACTTACCAACATTCTCAGTTTCTCAGAGACAGATTGGATTCTACCATTCTCTGATTCCATGACTATAAAATAGCCATCTGATGTAGGAATTTTTTCAGTCTCCCACTTTTTGTGGTGAATTTAATGTTTCACTCTCAACACCTGTTATAAGTTGCCATAACTTCATGAATCAGTCCTGGGTTTTCTGCACGTTTCCTTAACAACAGCATTTCACACATAGTCTTGATGGATCTACCTTAGAATCTATCAATCCTTTTTTAGACAGGAACATTTCTGGAGCTGGGCTGCTGTCTATAGGTTCATATATTTCAAAGGCACTTTCAAAAGAGATGGCATATGTCAAATACTTGGATAGTTCAATTAGTAGAACATGCCAAACCTAGTTTTTGAAATCCTAATTTCTGAACATTTTCCTCTACATAAATTTGCTTCATACCACTTCAACCACTAAGTGCTGTTTTTCAGTAGTACTGGGCTAATTAAAAATTTATGCTCTATCTACATTCAGAAAGACTGATTTTTGAAAGCTCTTCCACACTATTTCAGCAGCCTATACTCAATGAAATCTATTGCAGAAGCTGAGGATAAAGCCTGAAGCAAAGCTGGAAAGGAATAAATCTCTTTGGGTGTTATTTTCTTTCTTTTATAATATTTTTTATTTTTTATTTTTGTTTAGGTAACACTTTCCCACTAACTTTTCCATTAATTTTACTTTTTGTTTTTCAGTACAAACACATCTGTCGTTTTATAGTAATCAACAGAAACAATATGGCTGTTCAGCAAAAACAGATGTAAAGATACTGAACTATTACGAGCTATCTACTTAGCAAAGAACTTGTCCAATAAAGAAGAAAAAGATAGTAAGATGTCTAGCCAGTGCTAGAGAGATGCTTTGCATTTCCTTTGATAGACAATTCTATTATTTCCATTATTCTTTTTTTTTAGCAAGCATATACATTGCTATTTCTGCTTTAGAAATCTTAAAATGAGTAGACTATGAGTTGTGGGAATCCCCCCAGCTGGATTGTGCCCCATGACAAGTCTCTCTTTGATGATGGTGAAAGAGATTTTATTGGTCTCTTTAAATGTGAGTACTGATATTCCCTCCATCCTTTTGAAACATGCAGACCTTTCCTTCTCCTGCATACTCTGGCTGTTGACCTTTTAACCTTGAGGCACAATGGTTTTTAAACTGCTATAGTATGCATACTATGTGCATCCAAGGAAGTATTTTTTCCAGTATGAAATACTTTTTGCTATAGTGAGAATAAATCTCAGTCAGTGTCAATCTGTTTCTTGTCTGCAATATAGATAAGATTGCTGGATGAGAGAGAAATTAAGTCACTTACAGAAATGGATTTGCCACAATTAGGTGTGCAGTCAGGCCATATTAATTTCAGACAGAAACATTACAAAGCAACACACAACCCTATGTAAAATGCAGCCTTCCTCCACAAGCAGGAACAGCCCTTTGGTCTTAATCTTAAAAATGAGAAATTAAAGACAGGATGCATAGGGTAATGATGGAAAAGGATGGCATAATTCAAGTGTCATTACACATCAAAGATAATAATCTAAAAATTGGATCCATGAGTAATGAGAAAGTATGCCTTGCTTTACTGGTGTCACTGAGTAAATATTTTAAAGCCAGGAAGTTTCTCTAAGTATTTGGTTTTGTATTCAGGTTGTTGCACATCACCAAATCTTATCACCTGTTTATTATTCATAACATGTTGGATAGACACATACACCTGAATCAGTCTTCCTCTACTCCCTTTATAATCAGTCAAGCAGCGAATATAGTTTTAAGGTATACCTAGATATACCTGACTTATTTGAAACATTTACAGTGTAATGACATTAATTACATCATAGAAAGACTTATTTCTGCCCAGGGACTATAAAAGGAGATGATGACTAACATAGACATAATAACCTTCATTCTAGGTGTATATTTAACCACATAGATTTCCTTTTCCTATGAACAGAAGAAAACAAAACCCTGATTTTCATCTTAAAACAGTTCTTATATTTGTGTTAAGATAAGATTTAGCCATCTCTTAGATGGAGAGTAGATTTGATTCATACACTTTTTTTTTTCAGTTCTTCTGAATCACTCAAACAAGTGAGCTTCTTTTAAATTTTAATTTAGTCTCACAACCTTAAGGTATAGTAATTATTTATGATTATGATAAATTATGATATGATATTTCTGAATATGAAAATTTATTATAGTAAACTTGCATTTGTTCCATATCATCCCATTAAGTTTAACGACACTGTGGTTGTTCCTAACATTTGCTTTAGTCTTGGTTGTTGTTCTACCATGAACAAAACTCTTTTGTTCTACCATGAACATGCTCTCTTTCTCTTTGCATTGTCTAAAGCAACCACTTCCTGGCCCAGCAACAGAGGGTTAAATGTTACTGCATTTGGAGCTAGTATATTGTGTCAGCTGAGCCAGGGGAACGACCTGTACCTCAGTGTTTGACCTGAGAGACCACATGGTGTAAACTTACAGTGCTTTTATCGAGCGCTGAGCTCAGTGTAGTATCTCCTACCTGCCACAGCCATGTGTAGAAAATAACTCAGTTATTAAACAGCTCAGTTAATGTACCAGAACCTGTTCAGCTATCATGTTGATCAATGTTAAGCTAACGTGTTTTGATCACGAATCAATGATCTAAGACGAAATTCTCTTCAGAGAGAGCAATTATCCTCAAGGGCTTGAGTATGTTGCTGCTTCAGTTTTTTTTGCTACTGTCCTGTACCGATTGTTGAAATATCTATTTTGCTGTCTATTATTACTCAGGCTTGTTCAGCATACTGGATTTCACAGTCCACTTCTATCTGAAGACTGGTGTTCTAAATAGTTTTCCTCTAGAAAGTGATTATCTTGCCTTTTTCAAAATAAAATTCCACCTTTTTGGGGTTACACTAACCCTTCTAATCCTCTTTATGCTTTTTTTTGCTATGAAATTCTCCCCAGCATGCCAACTTCTTCATAAAAAATGATTGCTTACTCCATTGTTCATGATTCTTAATGGTCATTAAGGAGAACCAGATTTAATACCAATGAATACAGTTTCTCTGCAACCATTAACTTTCTCCAAGTTCATATACTATAGTGATTCCAATTTAATTACCATGTTGATTTGGTTTCATTCCAAAGAAATATCAAATTCTGCCTCTTGTAAATCATTCTTTTATATATATATACATGAAAAATACTTTGTTGACTATGTGTCTTTATTGACCATGTGATTACAGATTGCCTATAATCACCTTATGTTTGTTACTTCTGCAATTTGATATAATGCTACTATATTCCTTATTCTAAGGATTTTTAGATATTGTAATGATAAACATTTGGCATATGCAAACACTAAAGCTTCAGTTCCCAATCTCTATTTTTCAGAAGGAAAGTAGTTAGTATTTTTGCATCTTTGTGCATAGAATTATTTTCCTTTCCTTTTGAAGCACACGGTCATGTACATTAAGTACATATGAATTCCTCTAGAGAAACAAAGATTTTTAATTTAAATAATCAAATAATTTTTTACTTCAGGTAATAATAAATTAGGATGGATGCTCACCTCAAAGCACAAAAAAAAATTTTGTTTGGCTAAAATAATAACAGCTATGAAATAACTTATCCCTGTCAAGTTTTTAATTCTTTTTCTGTTCTTATTGCTTCTTTATAGATAAGTATTGACTCTCCCCTTCCAATGGCGAACATTCAAACTTACTGTGTCAGGCTGGTGAGAAAAAACAAGTTGCTAGAAGCTATTTTTTTTAAATCAGAGAAATATATACCATGGATCTCTGTTATCAGGAAAGAAAATAATCCAAACAACTGCTGTACAAAATTTTTACAATGAATGAAAAGGAGGCAAAATGGCTTAGGAAAACCAGTAACCTTGTAAAGGGCAAATAAATTGCTCTGATTTTTATCTACATTAATGAGTCAATACACACAGCTATATTTAAAGCTTGCAGCACTGTTTTGGGACTACATGAGTTTGCTGCAGACACCACACAAACTATTATGGGGTGAAAGGTCCCCAACTGCCCTAGTTTTACCCTTATACAGAGATGGGACCATTGACACTCAAAACACATAAAGGAATGTACAACAAACTGTAAGATTTTGCCTGGGATGCTTAATTACAGACACACTTTTTCAGAACCAATGGTGTTACTTCCCACAACATGGAAATTAATTTCCAATCTAGCAAACAAGGATGTAGTGAGTATATGTATGTCTTATGGTTTAGAACCTTTTACACACATTTTTGTAATTGTACAGACTTTCCAAACTTACCTCCTCTATGGATAATCAAAGAAGTTTCACTTCCAACAGGACATTCTTTAAGTATATCCACTACTTCTGCATGGCTCAGGTTCTGTACATTCTGCTGGTTGATCTCAACAATGAGGTCACCTTCACACAAACCAGGACATCCCTGAATGTCTAGAATTTGCTTCACCCTCTGTCCTGTAGGACTGTCTGCTATAGTGAAGCCAAAGCCCTGGGCCCCTTTCACAATGGTTAAGGTCATGAGTTCAGCTTGGGTGGCCCCAGAAGAAGCCATTGATACATTATCATCATGGGCAGGTGGTGGGAATGTGCTATCAAGCTGACTATCTGCTGGAATGGAGTGCAAGGAGTGTGGTGGTCGATCTGTTACGTCTGGAACAGACTGAGAAGTCCTAGAAATGTATTCCAAATAAGTTTCATAGTTATGTCTTCCATTTACCACTACCGGAGGCCTCTCCATTACTGCAAGGGGTGGCACCATGCTGTTGGCAGGATCTTCAGGATCAAAGGGCAAAGGGTATCCACGACATAGCACCAAGTTGACACTCTGACCAATAGGAACAGACTGGAAGAGTTTGACTACATCTGCGTGAGTATGTCCAAGGACACAAACTTCATTAATATAGACAATCACATCACCTAGAACGAGAAGAACAAACAGTGACAACATGAGACAACTTCAATTACTGTATATGCAGTGTATTTTTTTTTTAAATGAGATAGAAGTCTACTAAAAAAATATGATAAATTCAATCAACATACTGACTCATATAGGAGAGACAAAAAAGTAAAGTTTGTCTGGCAGCAAATGTAATACAAAGACACAATGACAATACCAGCTATTTTCTGTGTAAGCTCACAGATGGAAAATTTAGATGCATCCAGACATTCACCTTTTCTCAACTTTTCCTCCCTATTTTTCCAAATCCTTTCAGTGTAGTCTCTATAAATTACTTTTTCCAAGGTAAAATGGACAATTATTTGGAGAATGTGTTGTCAAGAAATGTCATTGTTTGGTGAAGAGTAAAAAAAAACCCCTCAAATATTCCTGGACTTTAGAATCAATGAATAGCAATGCAAGACTATGTATGCATGTGCATAAGGAAACACTTTTTGCATTGATCATGATATTGACACTTTTCTGTTAAATGTGATTACTTGCCATCAGCCATTCAGAACTGCTATTGTCATTTCCTATTCTAGGCATGAACTATCTATCTTACATAACATAGAGATGTTTCATGGCATTTTGTTGTAGCAAAAAGGCTAAAGGACAATGACACAACAAATTTTTTTTGGTAGGTTTTTTTGGTAGCTTTACATTAGAAAAATCTAGGCAAATATATGAAAATCGGTTTAGTATTTTCACCTAGGTAGCTGGTCAAATAAAACCAAAAATACTACCTTTATCTTCAGATCTTGTCTCATGTATAGCAGACCTACCAGTCTGAGCATATGGAAGCAGAATACTTTAAGTCAACAGGCTATTTATAGGTCTCCATATTGCCCAAGCACGAAGCATCTACTGTTACTGAAAAGTTCAGAAACAAGTTCAAGATTCTTCTTAGTGTTAGAATAGATCTGTATATTTATAACCATAAATAATTTTTTTATGTACTGTTATGGTGCATAATAAAATAAAAATGAGTTATCAGTGCAAACAATATTCAGAATAGTTTAATGACCCACAATCAGTTTTCACTTTCATAAAAATGTTTGCATCTTTATAGAAAAAGAAAAGGATATTTGGTTAGAGACCACTAGAAGTTAAAGTATTTTTCTAAGTGAAGACTGTCTTATTATTCTATCATTAATCACCAGGATTCTGTGAGATGTCTACAAAGTACACAATTCAAAAATTGACACATCACAACACAAAACTTTTTAAAGGTATTTGAAAACTCAGCAATAAAATGAGAATGATTTAGGGAGAATGAGGTGGTTTGGGTGGAATTGCTTGAAGAGTATTTATGAAATTATGTCTTTCAAGTACTTCAATCAAAACATCTAATCCAGCAAACTGAGGATAAGAGCATCATCAAGATGCCAATGTAAGGGCTGTTTCTAAGTGAGGACAAAAGGCAAAGGCTGTTTCTATGTGAAAATGAAATGGTCAATTCCCACATGATCAGTCTGTGTAACAGCCTGACAGTAATTAATTGCATATGCACAAACTGTGATTCAGAGGAGGATTTCTTCAGAAGGTGCCTAGGGAAAAAACGCTAAGGAAGTCTGTTTAAATGATTGCGAGTATTACACACATAAACCTTAGGAGCTGCAAATACTTTCTTAAATGTGCATCATAAATAGATTTCAAAACAAGCACAAACAATAATGTCACTTTATAGGCAGTGCTGAAAAAACTCCCTTGCTTTTGTCTCAAGCAGCTGAAAATAAAGCAGTTTTCAAAAGTCAAAATTTAAAAGAAAATATGCAGCATACAAATTTCTGTGGCAATGACTGCAATTCATCATGATTTGCTCATGCCCTGCTATAGAAAGATCTTACCTGCATTCTCACCCCTGGCTCCCACGTTAGCAGTGAGGCTGACATTGCTCACAATAGGACTGCTTCTTTTGAACTGAGAGCTCTTCAGTGCATGCTCCTGTTTCAGTAGCTATGCCTTAATAGTAACCTTGCGACTTTTTAATCCATGCAGTCTTTATTTCCCTGAGTGCTGGCAATGCAGCTATGTGGTGGGAGGAGACCAATCTGTTTGTTCATCCTCTCTTACAATACATTAGCAGAGTGCAAAATGAAATATGCAATTTTTGTGTTGGGCAAGTAAATCGTTGCCTGTTTTCAGCCCTTCACTTTGAGTATTTGGACAGGGTTTGCTATGATAAAAAACTTAAATCAATACAATTTTGATATATCAGAAAATTACATGAACTAGTTGACATTATACAGATCTGTAGTGAAAAGAAATTAGCTTTTGCAAAAGAAGCGCAGTCAGGAAACATACGAGACAAGCAGTCCCCTTCCCCAGTCACTAAACAGGCAAAACTGAGCACTAGAAGATCTTGCGGAAGAACTTCTTCAAATAACAACCTTCCATTATCCCTCACAGGCCAGCAGAAAATCCTTCAGCATTTCCTGAATCAATATTTTTAAAGCTCTTTGTTCCTGAGGTATAACACAAATAGCACGCCTGGGCAGATGCTGAAGCTGTAACTCAGTCACAGTGTGACTGTTTGGGACCCACCTGCTGTACTGTCACATGGAGAATGTACAGCCACAGGTTAAGTGTGATAAACACAAGGGCATGTGTTACTAAGTTCAGCTCAAAGGAAGAAGTTACAGTGGGGCTGCAGTGGGGAGACACAGCTTCAGCTTAGACTGGAAGGAGGAAAAAAAGGGTTAATTTCAGAAATCCCTCAAATTAATCTCTCAGCTGTACTTTCTCCAATCCTAACTCATTTTTCCAGGCTGAGAGTTCCTCACTGCTGACACAGAGAGAAGTACTCATCATTCGGTAGGAAGAGAGAGATAAGTTAAGAGCATTACAGAGCCAGTGCCATGCTAATGCAAAGTTCAATACCTCTCTTCTTTAGGAAACCTCTCTTAAAGGTTCCTGTAGCGTCTTTTCTGCCTGCTCTCTTCTGCTGCTTCTAATAATAATGGGTGCATATGGACAAGCATAATAGTGATCCACTTTATAACTCCTGTCTGATTTTCTGAGCAAGCCATAGTCTGCCTCCAGAAATCACAGTTTCACAGTGAGTGGGTATCTTTGAAGTTATGCAGAACATTTATATTAAGCATCAAACTTTGCCTGACTTTTAGAATTAAATTTGCTAAAATGACTGGAGCTTGCTTACAGAATGACTGAGCTTGGCAGGGATCTCTAGAGGTCATGTTGTCCAAACCATGTTCAGTCAGAATCCCTTAGAACCAGTTGCCCAGGATCTTGTCCAGGTGGCTTTTGAAAACCTCCAAGGAGGTAGACTCTACATCTTCTCTGGGAAGCCTGTGTCAATGCTCAGTCGCCCTCCCAGCAGGAAAGCATTTTCTGATGTTCAAAGGGAACCTTCTGTGTTTGAGTGTTTTCCCATCGTTTCTTTTCTTGCCACTGGAAAGAACATGGCTCCATCTTCTTTGTACAGGTATTTATGCAGATTGATAAAACCTCCCTGAGACTTCTCTTCTCTGGGGTGAACATCCTCTCTATCAGGTGTTCTCAAATTTCATCTTCCTCACTACAAACTGTACATGTGCCATACCAACCTCATCTTACTTGAGACTGTTCAGGGATGAGGGAGCCCAGAAGGCTGATCTACGGAGAAGACATCTGAATCAGACTCTTTAGATGAACTGGCAGGTTTGATAGACAACCAGTAGACAACAGATACCCTGGCCTACATCTCAAAAATCTACACTACCCCAAAACCAGATTCTTCAATGTCTAAATTTAGCACTGAGTTGAAGAATCTTAAATACTGACAGCAAGCAAATTTGTCAAACTGTCCTGAAGTTACCTCTGATTTAGTTAAGGCTCTTGCATTTAACTGAAAAATTTAGGAAAATGGGTCTGGAGGGGACTTCCTGGATGGCTGAACCTAGTCCCCCATTGTCAGGTACAACACAGTACGTTAAACTTGATGAAATTTGATGTCTTCTTCACAGAAACAACAAACCCCATAGTATTTCATATATTTAACTAGCTTGTTTTGCTTATTAAAGGCTGCTGATCATTACTTATTGTCACATAATTGTAATGTTAATTGACTCAGTGCCTGAATGTTTGATTAGAGGTTACATTTTGTTACCTACATATTTCAAAGCAACAACCAGATCTATACTGTCATTATCTTTAGTTGGTTTAGTAACTGGTGAAGAAATTTCTGAGCTTCAGCATCTTTTAATGACAGATTCTGTTTTACATTCCTCTCTACAATAATGCTGCAGAATTAAATCTGACACCCTGGGGATTTTCCACAAGCATTAATTCTGAAAAAAATCTAAATTTTTTCATGCTTGAAGTGCTTGATCAAAGCAGAATTTGTTTTATTGACATAACTACTTTCATCCCAAATTATCTTATAGTTTCAGGCAATGTTATCAGCTCTATTTACCTCCTTTCTGAAGAACCTGTACTATTCAGTTGACTCCAGTTATTGTTTCTGATGGGTTTTTACACTGGCTTCTCTGTGTAAACATCTTGCACTCTAGGTAAAGTTTGTCCATTTTCTCACTTTTGTTCCCACTGTTTGTATACAAACATTTTGCCTATTTCTTATTATATTTCTTGTGCACTTAGGTTTCTGGCTGTTATTTCAGTGAACTGAATTGCATACTAGACAGCCATTATCATTATTAATTACAATTCACTAAACTTTGAAGAATGAATGCAGAGAAAAAAGTGCAGATTGGATCTTCGATCAAAATTTAGTAGAAATGTCTCCTTTCTATTGGGTTTTTGATCATGCTCTTAGCACTTGGTTTATGTGCTTAAATTATGACAGAATGTTGTGATTTGGGGTGGAGACAGCTCCTCTGCTACCCCCCTGCAGCCAGCATAAGCCAATAGCAACGGAGCTAAAACCAGCTCATGGTTTTGCAAGTCAGCACAGGACACACCAGCTCTGCAGGACTGGAGCCGCATAATTTTTTGCTGCATTTATAGCCATCATAAACTC